TTCATCCATTTTCTCTAGCGACGATGATTGAATACTACAGGTCCAAAAAATCATCTCTATGTTTTAGTGGGGCGTGCTGAATCGAGCGCCCCCCCCTTGACGCCTTTGAGAAGGAAATGGCACCAGATCAAGGACAGCAACATTTGACTCATCGGACTGGGGACGGAGAACCTATCAAGACCATCCCAACCATTGCTCTGGAATTGCTTGAGGCATCTTGGGAATGCGGCCACAGCGAATAATAAGGGTTATCTTCGACGAAAAGTCGGTGTAATGTACTCGTAGGCTGAGGTGGTCGAATGCTCCCAGTTTTCGTAAGTGTTCCGTGCAGACACGCCAGAATTAACAACCCGGTACCCCTCCGGCGAGCCCTTCTCTACGAATATTAGCTGTTGTCATGGCCTGTTAGGGTGAGCCCATCGTTTCGGTATTCAAATAACAATCACCGGGAAGGAAGGTAGACTGAAGTTCCACGGCAACCGAGAACGATTATTCCTAAACAAGGTCAGATGGTAAAATGCACAATGCATGCTTCAGTGTGCGCTATCTAGGGTGCAGGCGAGGGCAGCTTTGGCCTTGACCGCACAGGCTTCTTTTGGGGCATGTCAGGATTGTGCCGTTCTTGACCCCATATGACTGCTCTGTTGCATGTGTGATCCCAGCCTGAGACTACCACGATGTGCTAAGTGCTGTGACTTAGAAGGTTGCCGACTGACAATCATATTCAGCCTTCGCAATTAATCCAAGGTGTGGTTATGGAGGGTGGCCGACTGGTGATCTGAGAGTCAAGTCGTAATGGCTTCCTCTTAACGTGACCTCAGACACTCTCACTCATGAGAAATGTGAGCCGCCCAACCCCTACTGGTGTTAAACCAAGTGCTTGTGTTCAAGGAGCAACGTCGTGTATGCAGTAGGCGTAGACTGGGTCGTTAGATGTATCAGCAGCTGCGCTCTGACGATGGCTGGGGCCTGGAAATAGAGAGATCGACGCTTCAGCGCACTTTCGTCATTATCAACAACCTGACGCGCTGAAAGGTACCCCATTGCGCTAAAAGCCGCGGCCTGGAAGGTTTCCAACTGAGGCGATAACTCGGGCTACGCAGCCAGCCCCGTGTGTGTGTGCTTTGTGCGGAGTGGTTTACTAAGAGGT